TGCCAAAGTGCTTTGTTTTGAACGTTCATCAGTATTATAATCAAAAAGAGAAATATGAACGTTAGTTTTTACTGAAATGATCAAATAAAGTCAACATTTCACAGTCTTTACTGAGCTGTGTGGGGTTTGTTCAACTTTTAAAAGATGTTTGAATGGTGATATACACAGTGATAGATGTTAAGGACTAACGTTTATAATAAATACATTTGTATTGATTTTAAGATCTTTTCATACAATCATACGTATTGGGATCATTTGTATTAATGTGGACCGGAGGGAGAGGGTGACGAGCATAAGTTTCACTTTCCTTTTTTATTTCAATTCCAACTTTGGTCATGAAGAATATGTTTCTCTGTTGTCCCCGTTCATAAAGCATAACAGCATCAGAGCACGGTGCAGAGTCTCTAGATGAGTTTACAGTAGTCCCTCGTTCTTATTAAACATCCATGTTGTAGTCCGCTGTCGAGAAAACTGTAGTTTCCATAGTTTCCCAAGCCCCCAGGAAGTGCGCCGGACTCAGATGAAAATATTCGTGCTGGCCAAATGGCGGTACTACACTTCCTTTTGGTTGCCAGGCCCGGAAACACTTTTTCCCATTGACTTACATGGGGAAAGAGTGGTCTGTAAATCGTTGGATAATTTTTTTTAAACTAAATAAACTACCCAGTATGAACACTTGTATAGCCCTTATTAAAAACATTTGTTCCTCAAGTTGTAAAATGTGCTAATAACGTTATTCTGTGAGTTATTTCCCTCTGCATTATGAACGCGCATCTAACCCACGGGACCGCGCCGCCCGGCACGTTCATGTTACGTGTTCAGCACTACATGAGTTTTATCTTTACCCATGGATGCACAATAAGAACGGACCCATATCGCCTTACTGCCAGCCCACGGAGCTGTAATAATGGATATATTGCACATGTTTGCTGTAATTCATCATTTGTAAAATATTATACTACATGGGCTGTAGGATGTAAATCTTGTATTAAATAAAGTTAATATTACCGACGTAGATTAACGTCCCTGTAGCTTCTTATTGCACTTCCAATATACCATTAAAGGAGTTGAACGTTGCTGTTTGCTATTACTATAATACCACGCAGGGATAAGCCAGAGTTTACAACCTTTGCATGTGGGCACAACACGTTTTGACCCAGATTAATTAGCTATACCATATGATATCGCCCGAGGAAGTCGTCATACTTATACATATATAAATAAAGATATATCAAAGCTCTAATCAAATTAACAGTTGTATTAATTATACTTGTATATGTATATATATATGTATAAAGCCTGTGTTGTATATTTATACACACAAATGAACAACCTTGTGTGTGTCAAATAACAAGTTGTATTGTAGTGTTTATTTGAGTGTGTTATGCTTTTCCACATTTTGATTTCAGAGCACAGGAGAAGGCACAACATAAAGCTCAACAGTGAAGCTGGCAATGCTGAACAAAAATATCTGGAGTTTTAATATTTATTCAGCTGAAAAAGTCAAAGCTCTACGAAAATGTAATTAAAAATACATTAGCATTTCAGGTAGAAATCAGCATTTTATATAGAAATTCACAAAAATAAGAAATGAAACCTAAAAGAGATGTTACAAAATGTATACCTCTGATGGCTGGCATAGTAGAACTAGGTGAACAAAATAGTGACAACAATTTTTAATACAATTTATATAGATTAAAAGGTAATATAATATTGATTACAATGATTCTATTAAAAAATCCACTAAACATGATCAACAGGAAAGCCCTCTGAAGGCACGTCATGGTTTGAAAAAAAGTTGAGGATGGGGTCCAGACAGTTCAATCAGGAGAGACTTCATTTTGTTTAAAGAACAGTTATTGACACATGCCATATGATAAATGTTAAGTCTTTGGCGATTAGACCCCGATCCTGAAATGGTATATCTAAAGGGGGAAATGCAGCCGTGAGCATATAGGGAACCCCCCGGGGTCTAGACACTGGTGATGATGATGAAGATCTGGATCTGATGAGGAGATGGGATGAAGAGGAGGTGTGATGAGGTCTTTGGATTAGCTCTCCTAGCACTGGATACGATGAAAGGAGATGGGATGAAGAGGAGATGTGATGAGAAATGCTGTTTTCACCCCAACCTCTGCTGCTGAATGATTTTATATATTGTTACTAAAAGTGCTTGTCTTTGATATTATAATGATTACACCAGAAAGTCACTCTTTGTGAGATTTATTTGTTCACATTTTTCCCAGCCACAAGATGATTTCATTCATTGGAGGCCTCAAAGCTGAAGGTATTGATGCACGGATCAATGCAATCCTTTACAACAGCATTCCACTATGGTTGGGGATGTCTGTAAAAAAAGGAGAAATAATCTTAAACAAAACAAGTGTCGCAATATAGGGAAACAAACTGTGACAAAAACATATCAATTAGATCAGAATCAGAATACATTTACATTGTTACAGCAGAAAAGAGCCAAAGACAGCCTAATGTTACTTAAAGTACGCATACAAAAAGTATTAAAGACTAAAAACCAGAAATTATAATAAAAAAAGTTACACATTTTACAAAATACACATCCTGTAACAGTTTGGAGGATTTAGCAGCCTGGTATATTACACAGTTTTAGCGGCATATATATATATACACACATGGTTGGTATTTAACAACAAGGGGTGTTATAGTCTGTGTTGTAGTGTGTGATATTGGTATTTATGGAAACATTTTACACCTTTCCTTCAAGTATTATACGTTTTAGTTACTTGTTGGGTACTTAACATGAATAATCACAGTTACTATTCTTTTACTCCATCACATTTCAAAGAGAAATAGGCTATTGTTATTTTAACTCCACCACAGTAATCCATCATCAGCTTTACTTTTTAGATAAAGATTTAAATCACAATTGATCATAACTCAAAATACATATCTTTGTATATATTACCAAGTGGTTTCTTGTAGGCTACAACCCACACAAGTTTCATGCTAAATGAAGCTCTGTTGCTTGGATATCACTAGATCCTGTTACATCAGCGTAATATAAAAGTAGCCTACATAACGACTGATGTGTAAATTAGCATAATTACTAGCTAGCCGCTAGCTGCTAACTGCCACGGCCGCCTCGTTAATATGAAATCCATCATAATAACAACCCATTACCATGCTGTCATGAACGTGCGGTGCTGTTACGTTCTTCTTCTTCTTCTTCTTCTTCTTCTTCTTCTTCTTCTTCTTCTCTTGAAATTGACGTGCTTGATGTGAACGAGCATTTTGGGGAGTGTGGTTAAAGTTGCGCATGCGCTATGAGCGCACATACGGGTACTTCTCAGGCATGCTGGGTAATCTGTGACGTTTCGCTCTCTCAAAAGTTGGGCCATTTTATCATCATGCGCGAATGAGCAACTCTCATAGGAATGAATGAGGCCCCGCCTCCCACGCTGTATCCAGTTCTTATTATACATCCATGTAGTTTCCCCACAGCAGCAGGCGCACATTTATGACGTCCGCTGGCGCATCATAAACACATCGGATAGTGAAAGTGCAGTCGATTCTCTAAAGTACCGCAGTCTCTTCACCTAAGTCCTTTTGAATTCTCCTATCCACTATCCCTTAACCCCGTGACCTTTCACTCAGAGGTCAAGGGATAGACGATAGGGTTAGAACTTAGAAGCTGATTTTTGGACTATTCGACCGCAACCGAGAAGTCGAGGAGGGGGATTTGATGAAATGAGAATGGGCCTATATCTATCTAACACCCCTCCTCCCCCCACCCCCACAATGAATATCGACCAATCACGTTCTTGCTTGATTTGCGGGACCAGCGTTGCAGTCTGGAAGAAAAGCAATGTGGCACCTCCCCGCTGATTTCCCTTCTGGCAGAATCTACACAACACATCAGCCCCATTGAACAGCCTATCATGCAGCCTATACAGCACATGAGGGGCAGAGCTTTACTCTGTGTGCTGCAACTTGCATATATATTTATTGCACTTGACGCACACACACGCATGGCGTAATTTCCACCTGTGACAGGCGGGAAATGTCCTCCGCTCTTTTCGAAATCCCGTTTGTGTCCCCCCACTTTACAAATATGTTTATTATTATTTTTTAACGCAAGCCGTCATCGCCACGGAGGAGCACACAGCCTCTGTGAGCGAGCGAGAGAGAGAGAGAGAGAGAGAGAGAGAGAGAGAGAGAGAGAGAAAGAGAGAGAGAGAGAGCTAGGGAGGGAGGGAGAGAGAGAGAGGGAGCGAGAGAGAGAGAGCACACCTTTATCTATTTAATATAGATCAAGTAAGGAATCATTCCAATGAGTGATTAGTAAAATATGCATAAAGAAAAAGAAAGAATGCTAACTAGGAAACATAAGATAAGAATAAACCAGTTTAAATTATTTGTTATTGGTTGTGATCATATTTTTTAGATCATAGTTCATTTTCTCGTTAAGACCTGAAAAGGTGAACATTTATTTATTGATTCATGAATACATAAGTGTAATGAGCTTTGACCCCACAGCGCTCCCTGCTGGACAAACGAGAGGACATAAATATAATAAATGTTTTATTATAATTTAAAGTTTTAAACAATAGATTTTACCTGCAACACATTTTCACCTCTAATTTCCTGCTCTTTTTTTTATTATAATTTTTTATCTTACAAGAAATATTTTTCCATTTCTTTTAATATTAAATATTAGTACTTCTAAAATGTCCTTTTTTCTTTATTTCTTCATTTAACTAAATATCCAAGAAACGGGACTTTTCTATTTTCTTTTATGAAACAAAAAGATGTCTGATTAAAAAAAGTGCCGTTTTTTTAATTAATTAGCTTATTTTTGGGGCATTTCACGTGTTTTTTTGACCCCTTATTATTAGTGAATATTTTAATTAATTAATCGTATTTTTATAAAATGTTCACTGACAAATCAAGACATTTTATAGAACATTATTTTTCTTTATTTCTTTATTTTAATATATAAATGCAAAATAGATTTTTTTAAAGAAATAACAATAATCTTTGAATTCATATTTTTATGTTTGTGGTATTTGATGTCCTTTCTTGTTGCAGCTGATAGTGGAGACCCAGGGTATGACAACAACTAATATTTATTATGAACTGATATATCTTAAGACATCAAACACATCACCTGGACTAATTAATTAATTATACATGTGTAGTGTAGTACTGAGTCCTGCCTGTCAGTCACCACTGAGGGCTAGCCCCGCCCCCTCCTGTGAGTCACAGCTCAGGCCCCGCCCCCTCCTGTGAGTCACAGCTCAGGCCCCGCCCCCTCCTACAGCTCAGGTCTGCTTTTAATTCAAAGTCAAGTTTTAAAGGAGTCACATCTCCGAACAGAGGAGCGGAAGACACACACTCTTGCAGCCGAAAAACAGCTCCTATTCTCGGATACAGACCCCCCAGAGGAGCCCGGTCCAGGTTTTTCTAACGGAGGACTTGATCCAGGTAAGCTTGCTCTTTAATGGTGCTGTTGTCTTCGTTTCCCCCCCCCCCCTTACTTTGGTGTTCGCGGTCAAATTTGAACGGTCCTGTTTTAACATTAACACAAAAACCATTAATCATCACCACATTTCATTTAATACCCTTTCAAACTGTACATATTGTATCAGACTATTGGTATAGAGTGCCACAGGGCCGCACCCTAAAACCTGGAAGTAAGCTTCTTCCGGGTTCCTCGACAAAAAAGCAATGGTGTGTGTTCAAATGTCTCTGTGAAGGATATCATGAAGCCTTAATGCAGTCTGATGTAAAACTAAAAAGTGAGTATTGATGAAAGTAGTAAATCAGTCAGATTTGACCCGAACACAACAGGAGGGTTAACGGTGCTTTAAACCAGACCTCATTGGAAAAACATGCATTATATGATCCTGTAGATCAGGGGTACTCAAACTTTTTTATTAAAGGTCCACTTGTGAACTTAATACAAGGTCACTGGTCCGGATCAATGCCAGTAAAGTCCCCCCCCCCCACCCACCCCACCCGGAGCGGAGAAACGAAACTGAAATGAAGCAGTTTCTTGGCGCTCTATGCATGGGGCCGCCTTGAGGGGGTTTCCCGACATGTCGTTGCAGTAAATTAAAGGGTGTTTCATGTTGTCGTTGCTGTGGACCTTCTTAATCTACCTTCTTTGGGGGCCCCCTTCTGGTCCAAGCACTTGCCTGCCTTGCCTGTCGGCAAATGGCGCCCCTGTATACACACACACATGCGTCAGACACAAGACGCGCGTACACAATGATGTACATTAAAGGTAGGGTAGGTAAGTTTGAGAAACCGGGTCGAGATCGCTAGAATTTGAAAATACACAACCGGGGAAAATCTGCCACTTCCTTATAGAGCCCCTCCTCCAACACACACGAACGCGCACATGACCAATGAGGGCACGAGATAAGTTTGTGCACAGATGGAAGGCTGACAGGCAGGTAGGCCATCCAGTTATTTTAGCCGGGCCGGCTCAGATGATTGGTCGTGCTTTTTACAGTACTACAGCTTCCACAGATATGAGAGAGAGAGAGAGAGAGAGAGAGAGAGAGAGAGAGAGAGAGAGAGAGAGAGAGAGAGAGAGAGAGATAGAGAGATGAGAGAGAGAGATGGGAGAGGAGAGAGATGAGAGAGAGAGAGAGAGCACACCTTTATCTATTTAATATAGATAAAGTAAGAAATCATTCCAATGTGTATAGGACAGTAAAAAAAAAAAAAAACAGTTTGAAAGGGGAGTGATTAGTAAAATATGCATAAAGAAAAAGAAAGAATGCTAACTAGGAAACATAAGATAAGAATAAACCAGTTTAAATTATTTGTTATTGGTTTTGATCATATTTTTTAGATCATAGTTCATTTTCTCGTTAAGACCTGAAAAGGTGAACATTTATTTATTGATTCATGAATACATAAGTGTAATGAGCTTTGACCCCACAGCGCCCCCTGCTGGACAAACGAGAGGACATAAATATAATAAATGTTTTATTATAATTTAAAGTTTTAAACAATAGATTTTACCTGCAACACATTTTCACCTCTAATTTCCTGCTCTTTTTTTTATTATAATTTTTTATCTTACAAGAAATATTTTTCCATTTCTTTTAATATTAAATATTAGTACTTCTAAAATGTCCTTTTTTCTTTATTTCTTCATTTAACTAAATATCCAAGAAACGGGACTTTTCTATTTTCTTTTATGAAACAAAAAGATGTCTGATTAAAAAAGTGCCGTTTTTTTAATTAATTAGCTTATTTTTGGGGCATTTCACGTGTTTTTTTGACCCCTTATTATTAGTGAATATTTTAATTAATTAATCGTATTTTTATAAAATGTTCACTGACAAATCAAGACATTTTATAGAACATTATTTTTCTTTATTTCTTTATTTTAATATATTAATGCAAAATAGATTTTTTTAAAGAAATAACAATAATCTTTGAATTCATATTTTTATGTTTGTGGTATTTGATGTCCTTTCTTGTTGCAGCTGATAGTGGAGACCCAGGGTATGACAACAACTAATATTGATTATGAACTGATATATCTTAAGACATCAAACACATCACCTGGACTAATTAATTAATTATACATGTGTAGTGTAGTACTGAGTCCTGCCTGTCAGTCACCACTGAGGGCTAGCCCCGCCCCCTCCTGTGAGTCACAGCTCAGGCCCCGCCCCCTCCTGTGAGTCACAGCTCAGGCCCCGCCCCCTCCTACAGCTCAGGTCTGCTTTTAATTCAAAGTCAAGTTTTAAAGGAGTCACATCTCCGAACAGAGGAGCGGAAGACACACACTCTTGCAGCCGAAAAACAGCTCCTATTCTCGGATACAGACCCCCCAGAGGAGCCCGGTCCAGGTTTTTCTAACGGAGGACTTGATCCAGGTAAGCTTGCTCTTTAATGGTGCTGTTGTCTTCGTTTCCCCCCCCCCCCCTTACTTTGGTGTTCGCAGTCAAATTTGAACGGTCCTGTTTTAACATTAACACAAAAACCATTAATCATCACCACATTTCATTTAACACCCTTTCAAACTGTACATATTGTATCAGACTATTGGTATAGAGTGCCACAGGGCCGCACCCTAAAACCTGGAAGTAAGCTTCTTCCGGGTTCCTCGACAAAAAAGCAATGGTGTGTGTTCAAATGTCTCTGTGAAGGATATCATGAAGCCTTAATGCAGTCTGATGTAAAACTAAAAAGTGAGTATTGATGAAAGTAGTAAATCAGTCAGATTTGACCCGAACACAACAGGAGGGTTAACGGTGCTTTAAAACCAGACCTCATTGGAAAAACATGCATTATATGATCCTGTAGATCAGGGGTACTCAAACTTTTTATTAAAGGTCCACTTGTGAACTTAATACAAGGTCACTGGTCCGGATCAATGCCAGTAAAGTCCCCCCCCCCACCCACCCCACCCGGAGCGGAGAAACGAAACTGAAATGAAGCAGTTCTTGGCGCTCTATGCATGGGGCCCGCCTTGAGGGGGTTTCCCGACATGTCGTTGCAGTAAATTAAAGGGTGTTTCATGTTGTCGTTGCTGTGGACCTTCTTAATCTACCTTCTTTGGGGGCCCCCTTCTGGTCCAAGCACTTGCCTGCCTTGCCTGTCGGCAAAATGGCGCCCCTGTATACACACACACATGCGTCAGACACAAGACGCGCGTACACAATGATGTACATTAAAGGTAGGGTAGGTAAGTTTGAGAACCGGGTCGAGATCGCTAGAATTTGAAAATACACAACCGGGGGAAAATCTGCCACTTCCTTATAGAGCCCCTCCTCCAACACACACGAACGCGCACATGACCAATGAGGGCACGAGATAAGTTTGTGCACAGATGGAAGGCTGACAGGCAGGTAGGCCATCCAGTTATTTTAGCCGGGGCCGGCTCAGATGATTGGTCGTGCTTTTACAGTACTACAGCTTCCACAGATATGAGAGAGAGAGAGGAGAGAGAGAGAGAGAGAGAGAGAGAGAGAGAGGAGAGAGAGAGGAGAGAGGAGAGAGAGAGAGAGAGAGAGAGAGAGAGAGAGAGAGAGAGAGAGAGAGCACACCTTTATCTATTTAATATAGATAAAGTAAGAAATCATTCCAATGTGTATAGGACAGTAAAAAAAAAAAAAACAGTTTGAAAGGGGAGTGATTAGTAAAATATGCATAAAGAAAAAGAAAGAATGCTAACTAGGAAACATAAGATAAGAATAAACCAGTTTAAATTATTTGTTATTGGTTTTGATCATATTTTTTAGATCATAGTTCATTTTCTCGTTAAGACCTGAAAAGGTGAACATTTATTTATTGATTCATGAATACATAAGTGTAATGAGCTTTGACCCCACAGCGCCCCCTGCTGGACAAACGAGAGGACATAAATATAATAAATGTTTTATTATAATTTAAAGTTTTAAACAATAGATTTTACCTGCAACACATTTTCACCTCTAATTTCCTGCTCTTTTTTTTATTATTATAATTTTTTATCTTACAAGAAATATTTTTCCATTTCTTTTAATATTAAATATTAGTACTTCTAAAATGTCCTTTTTTCTTTATTTCTTCATTTAAATGAAGTTATTGTTAGTATATTTATATTTATACAACTTGTATTCCCACTACTGCTGTTTTCCCGCCTCTTTAGAGGGACGTTTATTTAGCAATTTATTCAAAATACATGTTTAATCGTGGATAAATGATATGCCGAATTCATCAGAAGTAACCAAGACAGCTTATTATGAACTAACCTGTCTGGAATCAACACATATCTTGATAAATACCCACGTTTTTGTTAAATATACAGTAAGTTGAGTGGAGTTTGGTACCTGTGTGCTTGACACATGGAGGTTGAGCGCGCCGCACAGGTTGTCTGTTAGTTTATGAGGCGATGTATGCTAAATACAGAGCTTAATAGTGGATGGAATAAATGCCGAACTCACCAGCATTAACCACAACAGCTTATTATGAACTAGTTTAGTCTTACATCAAAGTTTATTTGTCATCATACCCACGTTTTCTTTAAATACTCAGATATTTGGGTGGAGTTTGGTACATTGTGTGGTTTTGTTCGGCCTGGCCTGAATGGAGCCCGGTGGCTGGGCAGGACAGAGATAGCAGTGCTCTGAAACACGTGGTCGACTTTGATAAAGTGGCTAACTTTAGCAACGTCACTTAATGCCATTATCGTAGGAAGTAGTTCTGAAAGTTAGCTGATAGCAGGTTAGCATGGATTCAATCTTGAGAGTTAAACTACATTTTAAAGCGATATGGATTCATTCTGAAGGGTGTTGCTGCTTTTATTGTTGCTTTAAATTAAAAAATTATATTTTATTTTTGGTGCCAGATTATGATGAAAAAAAATAGACCAATATATTTACTATGCGTGTTGTTTTTCTCCCTGTCAGATTCAGCATGGCAGCCTACGACATTTTGAAAAGTATTAAGACATCCATTGAGGAAACTTTGGTCACAGACCACAGGCTAATTCTCATCAAAGCTTATGAAAAGAAGTTGATAACTCAACATGAGTACAACAAACTGAGAAGCATCAACAAACTAGATGCAGAGGGCCAGGTTGGTGAATACGATCATGAGCAAAGGAGAGCCGGCCTGCCAAGCCTTCCTGAAGCTCCTGCAAACTGATGAGGCTATCCAGGAGACTTACCCTGAGCTGGAGAAGATACTGGAGGTGAGATAACCTAATATTGAAAAAGCACACTTCATGTTAAAATGCTTGCGTCAGGGTTTTTAGTTAGCCTTTGTAAAAAAGACACCTTTAACATCCTTATTATCCTGTATTAACTTACATTTCGAAAAAAATGCGTACAATTTCCAAGATGGCCGTCATTTCCATCCAAGTAAACGTGTTATGGTTTAGACAACTTCTGAGTCATTCCAGAGGCCTGTACTACGAAGCCGGATTTTCTCTTAGCGAGCTAACTTCAGGGTAAACTCTGGGTTTACGGTCCTACGACGCTGGTTCTCTTTTTAGCGGGCTAGATCTCCATGGTAACTTATGCTGAGCGGCTAGCCTGGTCCGGAGCAGGTTAGGTTGCAGGCTAAGAGATCGCTGACCAATCAGAGCTCAGTGTGCGGAGTTTAAAGCGATCAAGTCATATTACAGAGGAAATACAGAAAGACGGCCGGCAAAAATCACCGACTGTGTGAACGTGAACATTAATAGAATATCCCCTCCCATCTTCAGAGCAATCTGACTATTATAACATTAGCGTTAAGAAAGCTTACTTAAATATCTGCCACGACATAAGTAACCGGATCAGAGTAACATTACGTACAGTCTGCGGCACTGTGAGTGCAGACGTCGATGTGTCCCATTATCATTCATATCACATCACATCATAATGTATCATATATTTCCTTATCTGAGTCAGCTGAGCCGTATCTGGCCGTGCAACACTCACAGTGTCACATACTGGATGCAGAAGTATTATTTTAAGCAACACATTAAGTTGACGAAACACTCGAGTCAAATGTAATTAAAGTCAGATCGTGTCTTGGACGGGGCAGTGATATCATAAACCTGTTAATGTACGCATTCAAACACTTTCTCTGTTACCAGCTGTATTCACCTTGCAGGTGCAGCTATGTGGCTTTGATCCTGGATAAAGTGTTTAAGTCATGGAGGTTTAAAGTTTAACTTCTTCATATTTGACTAATATTAAAGTTCACTTTTCATTCAGGAAGTATGACGCTGCGCTGTCAGTACGCTTCTCCATGTTTGTGATTGGTCGAATGCTCCAAATACCACCCCTTTCATGTGAACGCGCACCTAACTAGATAGGACACGGCTGGCTTGAGCGATCCACTTGATAACCAGCGTCTTAGTACAGCTTAGCGAGAGCGCGTATGTTTTGGATTGGGCCAACCGGCTAACTCAAACATATCCAGGTTAGGTTGAACCGGCTTCGTAGTACAGGCCTCTGACGTCTGAATTTTGTGTCTACGTTGTTATTAAATGTATGATTTGACACCAAGATCAATTATTGAGCGAGTGAAAGTGATTTAATGGCAAAAAAATGACATTTCCATCATTGGTGACCGTCTTGAACATTGCCTCCATCTTTTGAGTGGCAAGCGGGCTTTTTCAAAAGAGTCAACTCAAAGGAGTTTGTTTTGAGTACTTGCTTCCACTTTTGGACTATTTATTAACATATGTAATGATCTGCAGCACTATTTAGCAATGATATCCACATAGCTATTATTCCTCATCAAAAACCTTAAAGTGTAAATATATTAGATTGTGTCCACACAGCCCGGCCCTAATCCATTCCAGTTTCATCATGTTGTGTTTGTGTGAAATTGTTTCTGTTGTTTTCAGGACGAGCAGTACATGTTGAGGAGCAAGCCCACTGGCCTCTGCCTGATCATAAACAACAAACATTTTGTTGGTGGTGACGTGAGATATGGAACCGATAAAGATGCTGGTACGTTACAGAGTTGACAGATGTATATTATCATCCCGGTGTTGCCTGTTGAAACCTAACTAGGTTTTATTTCACTGCAGGAAGATTGGCAGAGGTGTTCAGCTGGCTGGGGTTCAGAGTGCTGATGTGTAAAGACCAAACCAAGGACCAGATGGAGCGAGCGCTGAAATGCTTTGCTTCTCAGCGGGGCCTTTCTCAGCTGCAGGAGTTCAAGGTCCAGGTCCAGGAGTGGACTCGCAGCGGATTCACCAAACTTCGAGAGGCTCCTCAGCATGGCGATGCCTTCACCTGCTGTGTTCTCAGTCACGGGGGAAAGGGTGTGGTATTTGGGGTTGATGGGAAGCCCCTCCGTATCAAACAAATAACGAGAACCTTCATGGCAACTCCTCAATCTCCCCTCACTGCCAAGCCCAAAGTGTTCCTGATCCAGGCCTGCCAGGGGGGCAAGATACATCCTAGGGTGTCAAAGGGTCTGCAGGCTGATAGCTCTCGCTCGACACGGCAGGCTGATGACTCTGACTCAACATCCATCCCTCAGGAAGCAGATTTTCTAGTTCATACTGCCACTGTTGAAGATTATTATGCTCTAAGACACCCAGAGGAGGGGAGCTGGTTCATCCAATCTGTCTGTAACCAGCTAATAAAGGGCTGTCAGAGGTGAATGTCAGACTCAACATTAATGATATAGTTATTGAAATATCCAAAAGATTTTGTAGATCTAAATCTGATGATAAAATCGTTAACATATATTTTACCCTCGACTTAAAGTGACCATCATGTGATAACATGTTTTTCTACCCCTCATATCTTTTTTAGGAATGAAGAAATTGAAGTCATACTCCGCCGCGTGAACAAGGAAGTAGCCAGGAAAGACAGTGATTTGAGATGTGATCCGGAGTCTGGTACGAGCTGTGGTCCAACAACGCAGATGCCTGCAATTTGGCACACCCTGAGGAAGCGTCTTGTGTTGACTCCTCGCAACTGAAGCCTCATCGCCAAACACACAATACTGTGAGGACCCCTGCTTTACTCTCTCCGTGTGTGTGTGTGTGTGTGTGTGTGTGTGTGTGTGTGTGTGTGTGTGTGTGTGTGTGTGTGTGTGTGTGTGTGGGTGTGTGTGGCCCTTTAACGATCTCCCTTCCTCCCTATCAGCACTGACTGAGGGCACCTGGCCGCCGGCACCTGAGGAGTGAAAGGCCCGAGCCAGAGTCTCTCTCTCTGCTGAGGATCTGTTTGGAGAGCAGCTATCTGATTCATGCTTTGGTTTACCTTCATCTTAGTTTGGCACACACACACACACACACACACACACACACACACACACACACACACACACACACACACACACACACACACACACACACACACACACACACACACACACACACACACACACACACACACACACACACACACACACACACACACACACACACACACACACACACACACACACACACACACACACACACTACTGACCTTACTGACTAACACCCCCCATGGTGGTAGCTCTTTAGTTTAGTTGAATGGCTCATAATGAATATCTTCCTTATATCGTGTCTGTTGTAGTCATGGCCCAGAGCCAGGCCATGACGATACACAATGTCTGACTTGAGGAAGTATCAACTCGGGGGGGGGGGGGGTTTCTTAAAATGCATTCTATCTTTTTTATTATTCTTAATCTCTCTATTTCTCTAATCGTCACTTTGAATAATTGTATTTGATATTGTCACAGATTTTGGTTGCAGAATAAATCTGTCTTTATACCCAAAGAATGATGATCACTTGGTCCATGTGTTGGTAACGGGGGTAGGGGGGGGGGGGGGGGCACATGAATGCAGTGGTACTATTTACAACATGCTAGAATGTAGCTAACTCCATGCTAGAATGTAGCTAACTCCATGTATCTGGTATTCAGGGAACAAAATACACAGTAAAACCATTAACATATTTATTTTTGTTTTATATTTTATGTATGCACCATGACATCAAGTCAAATTCCTCGTACGTGTGAACCTACCTGGCAATAAACCCGTTTCTGATTCTGATTCTTCTGATTCTGATTATGGTGAAGTAATACATGTTACATAATATATATGTAATATTACAGGTTTTCAACTAAATGCAGAGTTAGTCCTGAAAACACAGTCCACCACAGTGGCAAGGGCAGTGCACTGAATTGCTGCCTTGACACATTAGAAAATTGTCCACTGCACCCCTTTTTGCATCCTCAGCGTAGGAGTTTGCGACAGGCCTGGGTCGCTTCTGGTAATGTGGTCCACTAAACTTACCATCCACCTGTGGCCTAACTCTTCCACCCAGGGCCGCCCCTGGCCAACTTGTGGGCCCACGCAAAGTTATGTGATGAGGCCCTCTGTGTGTGTGTGGGGGGGGTGGGGGGGTGTGCTAGTGGAGCACGCGCCGGAACCTCGCAGCGGAGTAATTTGGCCGCATAATCACATAAAGGTGCGCCGCATTTGCGCTTCGGATGAGGCTCCCTCATCAAGATGAGGCTCCCTCATCAAGATGAGTCCCCACCCAGTCTGCGTGATCTGCGTGTGGGGAGGGGCGGGCCTGCTTCCACCCCTCTTCCACATCATCAAACGTCATCCATGTATCCCACACCGTCTTCTTGCCCCTGCCACCAACATATGACACAGTGTCACATCCAGTAAATGCATGGAACATTGGTAAGGCTATGCATCGATCTGGACCTAGTGATCTCGCCATCTCATTAGCTGCTAAATGCCGAAAACTCTTCCCAGCTCCAAAGGCAACCCACAGCAGTGATGTTGAGGGATTGGGCTGCTGTGACTGCCAGTACTACCACATCCGTGTCAACTGTGTGTATTGACACCTTGCTATACCCTTCCTTCACAGCATCTCCTAGGTGCAGTAGGATGCGGTTATCAGCCTCCTTATGTGTGCATGATGCAAATACTGATTATTTGTTTGCCAGTGTTGAAGGCTGTCACACTGGTTGCCAGGAAGGAGAACAGTTAAGCCTTCTTGTCTTCAATGCGCAGAAACTCTGGCCAGTTTCCAGGAATGACACTGGATGGCTCAACGTTCCCTCTCTTGCTGCGTGTTTCAGCCTTCAGACTTTCGGGGAAATATTCATCCCACACGACATCGACTCTGCTGACATGCTCCAGCTGAGAGCATGTCAGTATAGTGAGAACACTTTCTGCACATAATCAAAAAACGTCTTAGCAGCACCAGGTCATAGCATGTTCACAAGAGCAGCCCCATCAAGGATGGTGACCTGTACTGTGGGGTGAGATGCATTCTCTTGTAAAGAAATCAGGTCCTCCAAACAGCCCACCAATCTGAATTGGTACCAGTGCTCAGCTTGCCCATTTGTGACAATGATGGTGGACATGCCTGGTTTTCATGCTCAAAAAACTCATCCAGACTTCCATCACGTATCTCAGATACAATGTACAGCCTAGAGAACAGAGAACAGTCATTCTTCAGAGATGAGAGCTGTTGTGGGACCTGGACTTCTCTCGGACTGGAGGCCGGCTGAATAGAGGGAGGTTTTTCCCTTTTGATGGGATCTTTGATGGGCTTTGTCTATTTGACCAGGCGCTCACTGACATACAGTGGAGGAAATAAGTATTTGATCCCTTGCAAATTTTGTTTGCCCACTTACAAATAAATGAACAGTCTATCATTTTAATGCTATGTTTATTTGATCAGTGAGAGTAAGAATATCAAAAAAAAATCCAGAAACTGAAATTATATAAAAGATACAAATTGATATGCATTTAACTGTGGGAAATAAGTTCCCTTCAGTTACATTACCAGAAGCGACCCAGGCCTGTCCCTTCTGACAGACACAGAGGTCAGAAGCTTCTTGTCGTTGGTCTCCAGGTTTGTGCACATCTCAGGAAGGATTCTGGTCCACTTTTTGAAGATCCTCTGCAAATCCTGAAGTTTTTGAGGCTGATACTTGGCATCTCAAAGCTTCAGCTCCCTCCACAGATTTTCTATGGGATTAAGGTACGGAGACTGGCTAGGCCACTCCCTCACCTAAATGTGCTGCTTCTTTAGCCACTCCTGTGTTGCCTTGGCCTTATGTTAAGGTGTATTGTCCTGCTGGAAGACCCATCCATGACCCATTTTCAGTGTCCTGGATGAGGGAAGGAGGCTATCGGCCAAGATTTCACAGTACGTGGCCCCGTAGGTAGTGATATTCATACTGTTTCAATCACATTAGTATGCATACAAAGTGACAGGTCGCACCTACTACTTATGCTAATGACCCCCCTTTGATATGCTAATGACCCCTTTGTTCAAGGTGTTATCACATGTAGGTGTGATATCACATATAGGTGTGCTATCCTTTGATGTGAGGGGTGAGGTGTTATAACATGTAGGTGTGATATTTCCACCTGTAATAGACCCTTTGTTGTCAATCTAATCTAATTAACCTTTGATGTCTGTCCTTTGATGTGAGGGGTGAGGTGTTATAACATGTAGGTGTGATATGACCCCCTCTAATAGACCCTTTGTTGTCAATCTAATCTAATTAACCTTTGATGTCCGTCCTTTGATGACTGTCTGATGACAGATATCATGTAGATGTGACATGTTTAAGACCCCTAATTAACCTATGATGTCAATCTAATCTAATTAACCTTTGATGTCCGTTATTGTCCTCTCTAAATTCGATTAGTTTCAATATGATTAGTGTTAATTAAGGCAGTCTCTTTGAAGTTGTGTGAGACTGTCTCCCCCCATCCCCCTCGCACCCCTTCCTCTCCCCCCTTCCTGTCACCCCTTCCTCTCCCCCTTCCTGCCACCACTTCCTCTCCCTCCTTCCTCTCCCCCTTCCTGCCACCACTTCCTCTCCCTCCTTCCTCTCCCCCCTTCCTGTCACCCCCTGATTCTACTGTTATCCTATGCCAGAAGATGATTTGTGTTAACTAAGGATGTTCTTTTTAAGTTGTATGGCTTGCAAACTAATGTTTAATTACTTTATTAACTATAAGGCAGTCTCTTTTTTGAAGAGGGTAATAATAATTTAAAATATCTTAATGACCCCCCTGATCTTGTATTTTTTATGTTTAATTACTTCACACAACTTTAAAGAAGCCCCTATGAAGTTGTGTGAAGTTGTGTTGGGGTAATATTAGAATTAGCTGTTTACAGCAAATTTTCTGTTGTTGTATTCATTCCAGGGCGGATCCAGGGGTGATCAGAGGCCTGTACTACAAAGCCGGTTCAACCTAACCTGGATATGTTTGAGTTAGCCGGTTGGCCTAATCCAAAACATACGCGCTCTCGCTAAGCGGTCCTACGACGCTGGTTATCAAGTGGATCGCTCAAGCCCTATCTAGTTAGGTGCGCGTTCACATGAAAGGGGTGGTATTTGGAGCATTCGACCAATCACAAACATGGACAAGCGTACTGACAGCGCAGCGTCATACTTCCTGAATGAAAAGTGAACTTTAATATTAGTCAAATATGAAGAAGTTAAACTTTAAACATCCATGACTTAAACACTTTATCCAGGATCAAAGCCACATAGCTGCACCTGCAAGGTGAATACAGCTGGTAACAGAGAAAGTGTTTGAATGCGTACATTAACAGGTTTATGATATCACTGCCCCGTCTAAGACACGATCTGACTTTAATTACATTTGACTCAAGTGTTTCGTCAACTTAATGTGTTGCTTAAAATAATACTTCTGCATACAGTATGTGACACTGTGAGTGTTGCACGGCCAGATACGGCTCAGCTGACTCAGATAAGGAAATATATGATACATCGTGCGATAGGCTGAACTAATGTTACTGGAAAACAATAACACCTGTGAGGCTAAGAATCACAAAGAACGCAGGAAATGGTTGTGTAATGTGAAAGAAGAGAAAACTTCAGTGACCTGGATCGATTGAGTTTTTCATTACAGTCAGTGTTGCAGAAAATACTGTTAATGTCCTTTAATAATATTGTTACTTAGTTACTTAAAGCATACTGTAAATGACAAATGAAAACTACTGAAACAAAGAACTGTCACTTAAGTTACTGAATGAAATACATAAACAGATACCAATGACTATATCGTATGTTTATTTTAACCCGTGTTTACTGTGCCCCTAAGAGAGAAGTGTAATGAGCTTTGACCCCACAGCGCCCCCTGCTGGACAAACGAGAGGAAATACATATAAATGTTTTATTTGATTATTATTTAAACAATAGATTTTATCTGCAACACATTTTCACATCTTATGTTCTGCTCTTTTTTAACATAATTTTTTATCTTACAAGAAATATTTCTCCATTTATTTTAAAATTAAATATTACTATTTCTAAAATGTTATAAAAGTAATTTTATTTTTTCTTTAT